CACTGTGTCCAAGGGGGGAAGGTACCAGTGAAGCCCTGTGGTCGGCGCAGGTAGACCTGCTCGTGTAGGGTGCCCTGAAGAAAGGCAATAGAGAAGTCGAGGGAGTGAACCTTGTAGTCGCGCTGTGCTGCTACGTGTAGCAGTGCCCGAAGAGTAGTCATCTTCGGGTCGAGGCGAAGGTCTGGAAGAAGTCCACCCCTCACGCTGGCTGAAGCCTCTTGCCACGTAGCGCGCCTTGAAGACAGGCGGCTCTTCAGGGGGCCGCTTCACCTTGAAGAGCCACCGACCATCGACTACGTTCACCCCAGGAGGGGGAACTGTGTTGACGTAAGTGCCGGTGGACCTCCAAGATGCCATCTCATGCTCCATGGCAGCTATCCACTGAGAGGCCCAGGGTCCCGAGGTCGCCTCAGCGTAGGTGCGAGGGGTCGGGATGTCGAAGGCGTCTGGGTCACCCTCTGGGACTAGGAGCATGGAGCAGAGATGGGGAGCGGCCTCGGAGAGGAAAGCAAGCTCGTACTGCATGCCCTTTAGAATGTCACTGCCAAGAACAGGTGCACCCCTGACGGACGGAGGACGGGCAGAGCCAGAGACCAGAGCGGTAGTGTAGTCAAGGCGACGGGTAGAGGCGAAGTCAGCGACAGCAGCGACAAGCGCGTCAAGGCACGAGACAGGAACAGACGGGTCTCTAAGAAGAGAGGCAAGGACCCGCGGGACAAGGGGACGAGCGGCACAGAGGTAGTCAGACAGAGGGGGAGGTGCAACAACAAGCGACGAGGGAGGAGGCGAGAGGAGGAGGGAGGACGAGACGAGTGAGAACGGAGCAACATAGGTGGGAGCGCAGGACAGGGGAGACGGGACGAGCACATGAGGGACGCCGAGACCAAACGTGGGACGGATGTGTAGGGTCAGGAGACAGCGGAGGTGACACAAAATGGGAACGAGGAGGAAGACTGGCCGGAGAAGAGTCCGGGGGCGGGAACACAGGGCCGTAGACAGGAAGGGGAGAAGGTGGTGGGGAGACACCGGCGAGCGATGAGGGGAGGGAAGGCCGAGCATTCGAAGAGCGAAGACCGGCGGCGACGGCTGCGGCGGCTGCTGCGACTGCTGGGTGGCAGATGAGCCAGTTAGAGGAGTCCAGTGGGAAACTGAGGAAGACACAGGGGACCGTGCGGGCGGTGAGCTTGTCCGTGCCAGAGGCACGAACGGGAGCAAGGCAGCCCCAGACGTGGAATGCAGACGCGTCACCGGGGGACACGGTCCTAAGGAGGGTCGGCGAAACCTGCGGCCGTTGGGAGCGTGGCCACAAGTTAAGCTGGTGAGCAGCGTAGCGAACAGTGAACGGCCACAGAAAATGGTGGGCATCGGCATGAATCATGGAGGTGCGAGCAAACCTCCATGACCAAGCCGATGCGGCGCTCAGCAACCCCATTCTGCTGTGGGGAGTCCGGCAAGGTGTACGACTGCGTGATGCCCTCCGCACGAGAGAGGGGAACTCGCCGCCACAGTCAGAGTGGAGGCACAGCACTGGGAGACCACGGTGAAGACGCGCAGCCACAACCCGGGAGAAGAACGTCGGGCACGTCGGCCTTCCGCTCCAGGGGAAGCACCGTGGTGTAGCGCGTGTAGTCGTCGACGAGCACAAGAAAGTAGCGCTCACCGCGCGGTCCGGGGATGGGGGCTGGCCCCAAATGTCCAGGTGCAGGGTCTGACGGGTGAGTGAGGGACCGACACGAGCAAGCTGCAGCGACCTGGGAGGACGCACCAACCGGGGGGAAGCGGTGTCGAGGGTAAACAGACCAGACACTGGGTCCCGGGGGAACGTTGCAAGGGGGAACCTGAGACAGCCTCGGTACAGACACCAAACCGCTCGTGCCCAGGGAACGTAGTGGTGATGCGGAGGTCCTGAACACAGCCGACACCAACCAGGTTCCTGGAGAACGAGGGAACGTGGAGGCCTGTAAGGGAGCCCGATGGAACGGCTGGACAGGGAAGGGAAGTGGAGCTGCGAGCGACGACAGGACCCGCAGAGGGGTCAGCGAGAGCGACAACAGCAGGCGCGGCAAGCGGCGTGAGCGTGGAGCGATCACGGAAGAAACAAGTAGAAGCACCGGAGTCGAGAGTGAAGGACAGCGAGGCAGTAGCAGAGGCCGGGAACGAGGCCGGTGCAGGAACGAGGCTAGTCAAAGTAGGCAGTCCTACGCCTGACGCAGCAGGGGAGGCTAAGCTACACAAGGGTGCTACACCTAAACTAGAGTACACAGGGTAATAAGATCCAGCAACACTAGAAGCGTCGGCATACAAGGCATGCAAAGCAGCACCTATCTGATCCATATCTAACTCAAAGATCGGCATGCCCTGGCGAAGCAGGCTGTGCCAGTCGGGGAGGTCCGTGGCTGGGCCAAAGCAACGACGAAAGAGATCGTCGAGGCGGTGGAAACAGCGGGCAGTCGAGTGCAGGCGGCGGTACAGAGTGCCGCGGAGAGGCCCGGTCTGAAGCTGGTACTGGCAGGTCACACCAACGGAGCTGTCGGTAGACGCCAAGCCGCACGGGCCGCCACCACGGCCACCACCTACAGAGGTGCCGGGCCAACCCGGCGGGAGACGAGCCCATGGCGGGGGCTGAGACAGCTGCTGCAGCGATTGCAACTGCTGCAACGGCTGCTGCGGCTGCTCCTGCTGCTGGGGTGATGGATGCGACTCCTGACTAGCTGGGGCAGTCCCCTCAGTAGAACCACTGTCCCCGTCACCACCACCACCACCAGCTCCACCACCACGCCCTCCCTGGCGGCCACGGCCAGCGCTGCGCGGTCGCTGCTGCGGGTGGACCGCAGCTGCGGTCTCGGTCAGAGGGGTCATAGTGGCGACCGCAGCCGAAACGTCAGTAAACGTGCACTGGGAGGGGGCACAACCGTGAAAGATAGAGACTGCCGGCGCACCACTTGACTGAGCGATAGTGCGCTGGCGAGTCTCGATCTCGGTTAGGGCGGTGACAAAGGCTGTCAGGGTGAGATCACCAGGGTGCTGGCTAAGGATGTGGTCGCGTGCACTAGCAAGGCGGTCAGGCAGGCGCATAGCGATAAAGTAGAGGGTCATGCAGAAGGGGGGGGGGGGGAAGTGGAGTGAGCTGGGCAGCAGTGCTAGCAGTGCGGTAGCGAGACTCTAGGGCTCGCAGGTGAGTGGCAAGGTCAGCAACAGTAGGGAAGGAAGCAATGTCTGGGAAAAGCATAGGGAAGAGCAGGCGGCCTGCAGTAGCGGAGGCAGGCGTGGAATAGCGAGCAACAACAGCATCTAAGTAAGCCTTGGCTATATCAACTGTAGCGAAATGCGAACGCTCAGACACAGGGTGGGCGTGACTGATAGCGACCTGAGCAACTGTATCGCGGGAGTCCCAGACGGCATAGGCAAGTGCAGCAGTAGAGATAGTCTCACGCTCAGCAGAGGTAGGATTGGCAGGGAGGGGAGCAGGCTCAGGGGGGCGGGGGAGCAAGCCATCAGCATGGACAACCAAGGAGTGCCCATCCTGGCGCTGACCTGTGAGTTGACGGCGGAGGTCGGACAGCCAGGCAGCGAAGTCAACCGCGTGGCCCTCAGCGTCCAGGCGGAGGACGAAGTCAGCCATCATGCAGGGTTAGGGATATAGGGACACAGCGGCACAGCTCCACAAGACACAGTGGCACAGGGACACAGCAGCACAGCTCCATGAGGGCGGCTGCAAGACGCTCCAGCGCTGGCAAGCAGAAGACACGTTGCCACAGGAGCCGGGCGTGCACTAGGAGCTGCGGGCCGTAGGAGCTGGGCAGGCGTGTCGGGGCCGGGCTGGCGCTAGGAGGGCTGGGCAGGCGCTAGGAGTGGCCGGGCGGGCGATAGGAGGGGCTGGCCGGGCTGGCGGTAGGAGGGGCCGGGCGGGCGCTAGGAGGGGCTGGGCTGGCGCTAGGAGGGCCAGGCAGTGCTAGGAGGGGCCGGGCGGACGCTAGGAGGGGCTGGGCGGGTGCTGTGGGACGGGCGGGCGCAACTGGCCGGGCGGCGCTAGGAGGGGCCTGGCGGGCGCTAGGAGGGGCCGGGCAGGTGCTAGGAGGGGCCAGGCGGGTTGTCACAAGATCGAATGTGTCGAGGAAAGGTTGCACTATCGATCAGTACAAGGGCTTTTATACTTCCAGAGTACATCAGGTAACCAGGTTTATCTTATCCTAAGGGAATAGACCCTTCTAGAAGATAGAATCACCCTGCGTATAGCCACGCGAGGCTATTGGCTTTAAGGGATTACGCAGGATTACGCTAGATAGAGCGCACCAGTACATCCCAAGCCTGGTCGGTGATATAATTATAATAGCAGGATAAACCAAAGGTTAATGGAAAAGGAAGAATAGGAAACCAAATGAGATGGAATAAAAGAGAAATGAAAAGGAAGGAAATAAGAAAAGGCCAAGTGGTGTAACGGGGTCGTACTCTCACACTTCCCCCCCTCAAAGCTGGGTGGTAGAAGTAACACCCTGCTTGACAAGGTAGTCATGCAGAGGACGACGGGCGTTACCCATGTCGGACTCAGGTACCCAGCTGTCCTCAGAAGGATCATAACCCTTCCAACGGATGAGAAGCTCCACCGGTGCCATTCCGACGACGGCCGGTGTGCGAGCACGGACTCGACCTCGTACTCGGGTTCATTCTGGACGAGGACGGGCGGGGGCGGCGCGGTTGGCGTCCGACGAAGATCGTGTTCGGGATCCCGATAGGGCTTCAGAAGTTGGACTGGAAGGCGTTGTGAATCTTCCAGTAGCTGGCAGGCGTAAGCGGAAGGTAACAGGAGTGACCTGTGCTTCAACAGAAAAGGCCCGCAGAAGCGAGGTCGAATTTAGATGGGAGATGGCTGATGTCCAAGGTTGCGGGTGTCAAGAAGCACTGGTCTCCCACCGTGATGGTGTGGTCGTTGCGATGGCGATCGGCTTGGCGCTTCTGTTGCTGTTGAATGTCGAGTAGGCGCTTGTGGGTCCGATCCAAAGCTGATGCATGGTTGTGATGAAATCATGTGCTGGTTGGACTGTAGCTGATGCTGTCGGTTTTTGTGGTGTGAGTGGGTGGCGTCCGTAGCAGAGGAAGAACGGCGTCTGTCCAGTAGCGGCATGTGTAGCAATTGTTGTAAGCAAACTCTAGTACGGGCAGGTGCAAGTCCCATTTGGAGATCTCGTCCTTGCAGGCTGCTCGGAGGAGTTGCTCAACAATTTGGTTGAGGCGCTCGGTCTGTCCGTCTGTCTGTGGATGGTAAGCAGATGACATGGCGAGTTTGGTCCCGAGGAGAGACATAAGTTCCTTCCAGAACTTGCTGGTGAACTTAGGGTCTCGGTCGAGATGAGTGTGGTTGGAATGCCATGCTGTGAGATGATGTATCGAACGAAGAGTTGTGTTGTTTCTTCCGTGCGTGTCGTCGTGTGTGTCGGGATGAAGTGTCCCATTTTGGAGAACTTGTCAATGACGACAAGGATGGCGTCATGACCGCTGGAGGTAGGTGGTAACCCGGTGATGAAGTCCAGGCTAACCACTTGCCAGGGTTGTTCTGGGACAGGAAGAGGCTGCAGTAGTCCCGCCTTTTTTCTGCTTGCTGCTCTTCATCCGCTGACATGTATCATACGAGGTGACGAATTTCAGGACATCTTCTGCTAAGTGGGGCCAGTAGTAGTGCTTTGCGATACCGGTCAGCGTCTTGTTGCTACCGAAGTGTCCGGCGTAGAGGACGTCGTGGTATTCTTCGAGTAGTAATTGGCGCAAATGAGGGTAATTGGGTACCCAGATTTTGTTGATCCTTTCCGGTACGCGATGTCACTGTCCCACTGTAGCAGATGTCGCTTTTCTGCCAAGGGAATTTCGGGGTCGGTGGCGTACCCGTGTGTGAAGAGTCCCTTGAGTAGTGGGTTCATCCCTTCGACCTGAATAGCGGCAACGTGTGCAGGCCGGCTGAGAGCGTCTGCTTTGTTTTGTGACCGTGCTTGTACACGATGTCGTAGTGGAAGTGTGTCTCGAGGAAGTCGATCCACCTGACCTGCCGCCTGGAAAGGTTGGGTTGTGTCTTCAAGTATTTCAGGCTGCAGTGGTCAGTGTAGACGGTTGTTCTTCGTCCTTCGAGATAGCATCTCCACGCTTTGAAGGCGATGATGATGCCAGGCGTCCCTTGTCGTGTATCGGGTAGTTGAGTTCTGCCCCGTGTAGTTTCTTACTTAGGTAAGCGATTGGTTGCAGTCCATTCCCTTGATCTTGCATCAAGACTGCTCCCACTGCTTGGTCACTGGCGTCAGCTTCGATGACGTAGTCGGGTTCGGGATCTGGCAAAATGAGTACCGGTGCGGACGTCGTGCTTGCTTCAGCTGCTCTATGGCTTCCTGGTGCTTCGGCTCCCATTTGTAGGGCGTGTTCTTCTTCAGCAGATTCGTGAGTGGTGCTGCGATTTTTGCATACTGTGGCACGAACCTGTTGTAGTAATTAGCGAAGCCTAGGAACTGCTGCAACTCCTTCACGTTCTCGGGTGTCTTCCACGTGCGTACGGCCTCGATTTTCTTGGGGTCGACGTGAACTCCTTGAGCGCTCACCATGTGTCCTAGGAACTGGACCTTTTCAAGGGCGAATTCGCTCTTGGACAGTTTGACGTAGAATCGTTCTCGTCGAAGAATTTCGAAGACGCGTCGCAGGTGTTCATCGTGCTGCTTCATGTCGCGCGAGTAGATGAGTATGTCGTCCAGGTACACCACCACGCACTCGTCCAAAAGTGGTCGTAGAATGTGGTTCATTTCGGCTTGGAACGTTGCCGGTGCGTTGGTGAGTCCGAATGGCATTACCAAATACTCGTACGATCCATACCGAGTTCGTAAAGCAGTTTTGTGGATAGAGTTGTCCGCCATCCGTATCTGCCAGTATCCGGACCGCAGATCCAGTTTGGAAAATACCGTAGCTCCCCGAAGCTGGTCAAGCATGTCATCAATTCGCGGTATCGGATATTTATTCTTGATGGTCTGCTTGTTAAGAGCTCGGTAGTCGATGCACATGCGCAGGCTTCCGTCCGGTTTCGGTGTGAAGAGTACTGGGGCACCGTACGGCGAAGTGGATGGTCGGATGAGTCCTTTGGCTAGGAGATACTCGATTTGTTTTTTCATGTCGGTCAGCTCCGTAGGGCTGAGCCGATATGGTGCTCGGAAGGTCGGCTTCGAACCCGGTTCCTCCACGATCTCGTGTTGATGCGTTCGGTTATGGCGGTAGCTCATTCGGAAGATCGTCCGGAAGGAATATCTTGGAATTCCTTCAATAATTCCTTGATTTTTCCTGGAGGTTCCGAGGTTCTCTCCCTGTCGTTCTCCGCCTCTGTTGCTATTGCCAGGAACCCTGTGTCAGTTTGCTTCACGTCCTTCTCGAATCGTGCGAGTGTCTCCACTGGGATATCTCCTGTATCGTCCCAGTTGGGGAGCTGTACTCTCCGTCCATTGTTGTAGATGCTTGCGGTGCGGTTCACCCAGTTGATCTCGGGGTTGAATCTTTTTAGGAAGTCTCGCCCGAAGATCAGGTCAAGCCCTTTGATGTTGGTGATGGGAAGTGCAGGTCTCCAGCGCAGTGGTCCAATTTGTAGGTGTAGCACTGCTTCGCCGTGTACTGGTAACTTGCTGCCGTCCACCGTCATTGCAGAGAATCCTGAAGGCTTGTACTCTTCCCGAAGTCGGTCGATTACTGCCTTGTCGCAGACGGTGTGTGATGCTCCGCTGTCCACGAGTGCTTGGAGGTGTCGTCCTTTGCAGATGACCTCGAGCACGAGGGGCAGTCGTTGCTCGGAGTACCCAAAGATAGTTTCATTGATTGGGTCATAGGGTACATCCCAATATTCCGTACACACCTTTGTGTTGCTTTCTACTCCTGAGCTGGCAGCTGGCCAAGGCTGCTTGGAGAACGGCTCTTCTCCAGGGATCGGAGTTTCCCTGACGACTGTGCGCGTTACTGATGCCGAAGAACTGGATGCATCCGGAGGAGGTTTTTGGGGTTTGTGCAGCTTCTTATAGACCCCCAGCTTCCTCTTGAGCTGCTTCAGCTCCACCGACGTCTTCCCTGGGGAACGGGTAGTCGTTGTGGGCTGGTGTCGGGAGAGGACGTTGACTCCGTGGAAAGGTCGGCTTCTTTCCACACTCCTTAATTTTTTCCCCAAGTTGTCCGGTACCGGTATAATCTCCACAGCTGTCTGCTTCTTTTGGAGTCCTTCCCGAATTTTCTCCAAGGCTCTAGCCCCTCGAATATCATAAGTTTTCATTAAAGCATCTTTATAAGATAACTTTAACGAATTCTTATAGTTTCTTGGGTCTTCAAGGAGTTTCCCCGTCTCGGCAGAGTCTTTTTTCGCGGAGTCGTATTTTTCCTCGGCGATTTTCCCTGGCGAAGACTGGTCGTGGGGTGGAGATTTTCCCCCATCATTTCCTCCTTCTCGCGTCGAATCAGCTTTGTCGAAGTTGATTTTCCCGGAATCCCGCAGCCGCTTTCGGATCTTTTTATTTTCGCCAGCTAGATCCGCAATCACCGGCGACTCCCGTTTTTTGGCTTCTGATTGGCTGAAGGAATTCCGCCACTGTTGCTGTGTGTGCGACTTTCATTTTGCTGCAGTCGAAGATTCGATGACCCGACACCCCGCAAAAATCACACGTGTAATTGGTGTTTTTCGGACGTGGCCGCCCCTCGAATCTGTCGACTTCCATCGGGTCGGCGAACGTGGGGTGAGCCGAGCGGTCGCCCTGTCGCGTACTGCCGACGTGCGTCCGTCGTGTTCCGGCGTTGACCATGTCGAAGCGCTCCGCTGCCGAAATGACGTCACTGTAGCTCGCGTAGTTTGACGCTGCGACTTGTCGTTTGACTTCGGTCTTCAGCCCGGCGAGGTACGATTGTACTTTTTCCCCTTCGGTCAGGTCGGGAATGCGGTTATAAAATTCCTCCATCTGCTGCGTGTACTGCGCTACACTCCCGAACTGTCGGTGTCAATGAATTTTTTCCTGGGCAAGGAAACTGGAATTTATCGGCTCGAAGCGTTTCAGCAGGTCAGCGCGGAACTGCTGCCACGTGGCTTCACCGTGGATGAAGGTACTGTTGCCGCCAATCCACTAGAGTGCCGGCCCTCGCATCAGTGTCGCCGCGAGTCGTACACGTTGACCGTCCCAGACTGGCGAGCTCCATCTGACGGCTGCGAAGTAGATCTCCATCCCGGCGATCCATCTGCGGGCGTCGGAGTTTCGATCGCTCGGATCGAACGGCTCAGGTGGGCGCGGTTTCAGAGCCTCGAGAAACTGCTGCGACTGCTGCGTCGTCGCCGTTGTCGTCTCGTGCTGCGCTCCGACGAGTCGAGTTACTCGCTCGAACTCGTTTCGCCACGCTTCGCGATCCGCTCGCATTTCCTCCAGAAGGGCTGCGATGCGCGCGAAGAGCTGCTGGGTAACCTCGGTGTTGTCGAAGGTTGCCATCCTGTTCAAAACACGCACGGAGGGGGTAATTCGAAAATCGCGGAGCTGGTGCTTACCAGAATCGGCGTCGAATTGGTCGCCCCTGACGGTTTTTCGAGGCAGGTTTTCCCGCTGTTGCTGCTTTGTTGAGCGCGGCTGAGTGAGAAACGCTCTGATTACCAAGTGTCACAGGATCGAATGTGTCGAGGAAAGGTTGCACTATCGATCAGTACAGGGCGCTTTTATACTTCCAGAGTACATCAGGTAACCAGGTTTATCTTATCCTAGGGAATAGACCCTTCTAGAAGATAGAATCACCCTGCGTATAGCCACGCGAGGCTATTGGCTTTAAGGGATTACAGCAGGATTACGCTAGATAGAGCGCACCAGTACATCCCAAGCCTGGTCGGTGATATAATTATAATAGCAGGATAAACCAAAGGTTAATGGAAAAGGAAGAATAGGAAACCAAATGAGATGGAATAAAAGAGAAATGAAAAAGGAAGGAAATAAGTTAAGGCCAAGTGGTGTAACGGGGTCGTACTCTCACACGGGCGCTAGGCGGGGCCGGGCGAGCGCTAGGAGGGGCCAGGCGGGTGCTACGGGCCGGGCAGGCGCCAGGGGCCAGGGTGGCGCGGAGGGGCCAGGCGGGCGCGACGGGGCCAAGCGGGTGCTACGGGCTGGGCGGGCGCTAGGGGCCAGGGTGGCGCGGAGGGGCCAGGCGGGTGCTACGGGCCGGGCGGGCGCTAGGGGCCAGGGTGGCGCGGAGGGGCCAGGCGGGCGCGACGGGGCCAGGCGAGTACGACGGGCCGGGCGGGGCCTTAAGGGCCGGGCGGGCGCGAGGGCTAGGTGGGGTGGGGGGGGGAGGCTAGGGCGCGGGCGGAAGCGAGCGGGTGGACCTAACCTACCCGCCGCCGCTGTTGCCGCTGGCCTGTTCCCGCCGCATGCCGCCGCCGCCGTCGCTCTCGTCACTGCCGTGACTGCCGCCATTGCCATCTTCCGGGCCGTGGGTGTTGACCAATTCCGGAGTCATCACGGCTGCTGCTGGGAAAGGGCGGGCTAGGTTAGGGGGTATGGGTGTGTGCGGGCTTGTTACTACCAAGCTTAGGGGGTGTGTCAAATTATATATTTTGTTATATAATTGGTAGGCTTGGTAGGTGTTATTGCAACCAACTGTAGAGGGTACAACCCCCCTCTTTGTATGCCTCTCTTTTCTATTCTCGACGAATTTTCTCAGTACGAGGCAGTCGACGGCTGTGGCAAGGAAGAGGGACGCAGGGGAAGGAGGGGGGGGGGGGGGCGTGGTCCAGAATCACGCTCGTAGCTGGCGAGCGGGCGGCAGGTCTAACGGCGCCACAGGCGTTGCGCGGCCGCCTGGCCAGCGGTACAACGACGCCGCCACAACAGCACGACGCGGCCACCAGGGCAGCGTGAGAGGGAGAGAAGGAGTGCACGGCAGAAGTGTGGGGAGCAGGCCCAGGAAGGGGAACCTGCTCTATTACAACGTTAAACTAAGGTAGCTAGGAACGGTAGGAAGCCATAGAAATGGCGAGAGGTTTTAGGCTAGGAAAGTTGAGGAGAGAAAAGGCGTCGCAAATAGAAGAGAGAGGGAGACAAGGAGGGGGGTTGTACCCTCTAGAGTAGGTTTCAGTGACACCTACCAAGCCTACAAATAAAATAACCAAAAGATGTAATTTAACAGCAAGCGCCTTAGTAAAGATATCAGCTGCATTGGCACCGGAGACCAAGTGTACTACGCGGGCCTAGCGACGCTGCTGTAGCTCGCGCAGGAGAAAGTACCAGCGGACAGAGGAGGAGAAACAAGAGGAGAACGAGGTGGGAAACGGGTCGGGGACGATTCCGGCGGAGGAAACACAGGACCGTGGACAGGAAGAGGAGGAGGCGCCAGAGAGCGGTCAGGGGAGGGAAGGCCGAGCAGGCGAAGGGCGGACACCGGCGGTGACTGCGGCTGCTGCTTGTCGACACCGATACGTGGACCACCAGCTGCACCACGGTCACCTCCGGAACACTCCAGTCCAGCACCCCCAGAACAAGCACCCCCAGAGGGAGAACCCTCTCCAGCATCGGTGCCACCCCCGAGCCCGCCGAGACAAGCCACGACAGGAACCCCAGGACTAGCACCCTCCTCAATGCCAGCACCCCCAGAGTCCATGAACAGATGCGGCTGCTGCGACGGCAGCGGCTACTGCGGCGGCGGCGGCGGCAGCGGCTGCTGCGGCGGCAACGACAACGAGGGAGGAGGAGACACCTGGGGAAGGACAAGCGGCGCAAACTACACCGCGGGGCCACCAGAGTCAGCCGACTCCTCGGCTGGGGTTCCTATCGTGGCTTGTCTCGGCGAGACGGGGGACAGCAGGATGAGTCAAGGGGGAAGCCGAGGAAGACACAGGGATAGTGCGAGCAGTGAGCTTGTCTACGCCGGAGGCACGGACATGAGCAAGGCAGCCCCAGACGTGGAACGCGGACGCGTCACCACGGAACCCGGTCCAAAGAAGGTTCGGCGAAACCTGCGGCCGATGGGAGCGCGGCCAGAGGTTAAGCTGGTGAGCGGCATAGTGAACGGGGAACGGCAACAGAAAATGTAGGTGCACCGATATGAATTATGGAGGTATGAGCCACCTCCATGACCAGACCGATGCGTCGCTCAGTGACCCCATTCTGCTGCGGGAGTCCGGCAGGGTGTACATTTGGGCGAGGCCCTCCGTACGACAGAACTGACCAAGCCGACCAGAGACGAAGTCACCGCCATAGTCAGAGTGGAGACACAGCACAGGGAGACTGCGGTGGAG